GACGGCCACGTCTACGCTGAAAGCGTGGCGGGCTGCGCCGACGGGCCAGCCCGTACGCGGGCCCTGCGGCCTGCGGGGCGGCGCGCTACGGGCGGGGCTGCGCGCGGCGGTGTACCGCTTCAGGGAGTCCTGCGGGTGCTCGTCGGCGAGGCGCGCGAGGAGGCGCTGCTGGAGGCTGACGGCGTGGAGCTCCCGCGGGTCGAGAGTTACGTGAGCCCGAGCTGGCGCGAGCGGCCGATCGGGGCCCTGGTGGACGTCGTCTTCGAGCCGCCCGCGGGGCCGGCAGCTGATGGCGATGCTGGCGGGGCTGCTGCTGCTGAGGCGAATCGTCTGCCCGCTGGGCTTTCGCTGGCGGGGCCGCGCGCGCTGCCGCCAGAGTGCGCCGCCTGGACGGTCGTGGACCTCTCGGTCAGCTGGGAGGGGGTCGTCGACATCATGGAGGTCGGCGAGGGCGACGTGCTGCTAGGCGGCGCTGGGGGAGGGCACGAGGCGCTCGTCAGGGACGGCGCTGGCTGGACGAAGGTGCTTGCCCTGTCGGCGCATGAGCGGGAGGCCTTCCGCGAGCGGGCCCGTCGCCCTGGGCCGCCCGCCCCCGGCCCTGGCGACGCGGTCGGCGAGGCAGAGGCGGCTGCTGGCACCAGCGCGCCTCGCGCTGACGGCGGCTCGGACGCGCTGGGAGCTCGCCTCAACGGTGGCGGCCGCGCGGCGGCAGGGCCCACTGGCGGCGGAGGCGGCGATGTGCGGACCGTGGCGGTCGATTTCGACGCGCAGGGGAAGAGGTACAAGGCATGGCGTGAGGTGGTGGCGGGGATGATTCGGCACGCCTTCACCGACTGGCCGCTGGACACTCCGCCCAAGGCGGCTCACTTCTGTGCGCGCGCGTGGGGCGGACCGGCCGCGCGCCGTCGGGCTGGACGGAGAAGCGGTCGCAGAGCAAGAAGATCGCGAGCAGTGATCGCGTGTGCTACGAGCTCAGGACGATCATTGATGCACTGGAGTATGCGGGCACCTACGACCAGCTCAACCTCGGGTCGCTGGTGTTAGCAGAGCTCCTCTGCCTGCGAGTGCAGGCGATCGTGGGCTCGTGTGAGGACAATTCGAGCAAACCCAGTTCCGAGAACGCGAAGTACTTCTCGGGGCTCAAGAGCATGTCGGATGCGGTGCCGCCTGATCTGAAGAGTTTCACGGCTCGCAAGGTGAAGGAGGAGACCGAGGTTGAGAAGCGGCGGCAGAAGGTCAAAGAGCTCCGAGGCATGACCGACGGGGGCGGGAAGACCGATGCTGCGGGAGGTAAAGAAGTGATCGAGGCGGCCGTGCCTGGGGCCACCAGTGGGTACGGTTCGCAGATGAGACTGGCGAGTCCCACCCCAGGGAGCACATCAACCCCGTTGAGATTTGTCCCGTGCCGACGCTCGAGACAGAGGGGCCCGCCCGCGGGGTTTCGAGAGGAGTTCGCCAGCGAGTCGGGCGACGGCGCACGTTGGGCAACAGGGCCAACGAGGCTTCGCATGCTTTGAACTGGATGTCAGGCCGCGGCGGCGATGCAGGAGTATGACGAGCTTTTGCTTCCGCGGCCCCCGTCCATCAGGAGATCAACGGGCGCGCGCTGAAGGCTGTCCACAGCTGGCCGGCACCAGATCGCAGAGATTCCCAGGAGGAAGCCGCGCGCGCTTCTCCGCGCCGAGTCGGGGGGCGACCGGGCGCGCATGACTGTGGCGCCCTACGAGGAGGGCAAGGTGTCGCTTCCCGACGACGTCCGCGACGCGAGGTGCGCGAACCTGATCGGGGGCGCGCGCGCCCGCGATTTGCTCGAGAGGTTCATCGAACGTAATCGGCGGATCCCCGAGGAGGTGAACGAGCTCGACCAGGCTTTTGGTCAGAGGGGCATGAAGTATTGATACTGGTAGTTTCAAGATTTCCAGGTATTCCTATTCTTCCGCGCGGGCTCCAGGGGCGAATGGTCGAGTGCATTCCGTCGCGCCGGTTCTCTGCGTGATGTGCGCGGTGCATTCTTCGCGCGTCGGAGCGCCCTCGGAGAGTCCAAGCTGCATGCTGTTTTGCTCTTGGGGGGCCCGCGAGTCGCAGCTGCCGTGGCGCTGTTTTCGAGGTAACCCCTTCGAGTGCTGTTCGCGGGCGCAACGCGCGGCGCGCGTTGCGACCAATCGCGCGCGGCGCGGCGCGTGAACCAGCCGGCCGCGCCCGTCGGACCGCCCGGAAATTATTTCTGGATTGTCGAATGTTTCAGAGAAGGCTTCCTTTTGTTGGGCGCAAGCGGTTCCGGAATTTCTCAGAAAAGAGCCCGGACATTTCCCCCGAAAACAGTTTTCGGGGTTGGATTGCGCCCGCCGCGCAGGAGATCTTCAGAATTCTGAAATCCGGAATTTTCCAAAAATGGATTCCGGAAATTTTCAAAATCGACCCCGGAAATTTTCAAAATCGACCCTGCTATTCTTCAAAGTAGGCCGAACATTTTCAAAGGATTTTTTTCAAATTGTTCCCTGGAGAATTTTCCAGAGTCGCGCGTGATTTGCCTGGCCAGGTCTCCGAAAATCCGCCGAGGCGCGCGGCGCGCGGCGGCGGGCGACGGGGCGGTGCGCCACCGCCCCGCCCGCGCTCGGCAACGAGAAGGGGATCAGCAAGTGCCGAACAGCCCCCCACGGGCGACCACTCGATTGCGAATGGGTGGCCGACCAGCGGCGCCAGCCAGAGTAGACAATACTTGACGCAAGGTGTACCCCGCGCGACGGCTGTTAGAAATCCCGGAATCACAGGAACGTATCGATAGCACGTTGTGTCATTTGATACTTCTCGTCCTATTTGGAGCTGTTAAGCCGCGCGTGGATCGATGATCGCCGCTTGGAGTCGTCGGCTCGGAACTGCTGGAGGTTCGTGCGCCAGCTTGACCAGAAGGGTCCGATTTCATTGGGCGAGGGCCTGAAGTTCCTCATCTCGTTGTTCTTCGTAAAGAAGAAAAGTGGGGCGCTTCGGATGATCGCAGATGCGAGGCCAGTGAGCAGGCTGTTTAGACCGCCGCCAGTTGTGCAGCTGCGCGCGGCCGAGGGGCTCGGTCGCAGAGGAGCTCGCGCAATTCTTCGCGCTACCGCCGCTGCCTGCGCGGGCTGCGGGCTTGCTGGGGCGCGCGGGGCTGGGCGTTAGCTCGGCCGACGAGCTCTGGTGGCCCTGATGGGCTTCCTTCCCGATGGGTTTCAGCCGGGGCCTCATCGTGGCGCAGAGCGTGAAAGAATGCCGCGCAGCGCGGGCGCCTGGGCTTGAGCTGCAGCCGCCGCCGCCGGGCCGTCGGGGCCCGCGGTGTTGGGCGCGGGGGCGCCGACGTCGCATCATGTGTGCGTGGGGAACCTGCGCGTGCTGGACGCGGGCCGCCGCCGCGGGGCTGCCGGCTTCGAGGCTCCGCCCGCCGCGGGCAGCCTGGGCGCCGAGCTCAGCGCCGAGAGGCGCGAGGCGCGACTGGCGGCGGCCCGCAAATTGCGGCCGGGCGCGGGGCTGCGCTGGCTGCTGGCAAGGCGGAAGGTCTCGACGCGCATGATGGAGGTCTTCGTGGGCCAGTGCGCGAGTGTCGGCCTGCTGGTCCGCCAGACCGTCTCCGCGCTCCACGCGGCGTGCAAGTTCGCGCGAGCCCACCCCGCGGGGCTCTTCCCCATGTGGGCCTCGGTGAGGGCCGAGTTCGTCGCCTTCCTGGGCCTCGCGCAGCTGTTGACCGCCTCCGGGGGGCCTCCCTGGAGACGGGGCGGGGGGCGCTGCTCTACGCGGTGGGGCGCGGAGGTTGCGGCCCAACGCGGACGAGTGCCTGAGAGGTCGAGGCATCGTCTCACCTCTGCCTCCGCCAGAGATCACGTTCTACAGCAGGCAGGTCTGGAAAGCTTCGACGACGACGACGCAGACCTGCCCGGGGAGGTCTTCGAGGAGGTCGCTGATTTCCCAGAGATCCCCAAGAAGCTGCTAGAGCAGCAATCTGGCGGGTCACCCTGCAAGGCCGCTGGTGATCTGCGGAGCGCATTGCCCTGCTGGAGGCCCGCGCGGCTGTCGCAATGCTGCGTGGGGGGGCGCGTGCTTGGCCTGGTGCTGGTGTGCGCAAGCTATGCCTAGGCGACAACCTTGGGATGATGCTGACATTCGAACGGTGTTGGGCACGAGATTTTGCATTGTGCACACAGGTGAAAGAATGGTGCGCCATTTGTCTTGTAGGAGAGAATCGACCAGCTATCAGGTGGATTCCTCCAGAATGGAACGTTGCCGATGAACCCTCCAGAGCCCCTAAGGCAGGTCTCCTTCCGTCTACCGCGGCCGCCGAGGCTCGAGCTTCGAGCGGGGGCCTCCGTGGCCCCTTCGGCGCGGCAACCGGCGGCAAGCGGGCGCTGCCGAACGACGTCCAGCTGCCCCAGCCGACCTGCCGCCCGCGGGTGCTGACGGCTACCGCTGCCGGGCTGCCGCCGAGCCTGCGGGCCGCGGGTCCCGCCGGCGCGGGCCGTCGCAGGATGCCGGTCAAGTCCGCGGCCCTCAACTTGCCGACCTCCAGGCCGCGCTGCAAGCCGGCGAGGCGCGCGGGGGGCCTCGTGGAGATCGACGAGGGCGAGGCTTCGAACGATCGCGAGTCCGATGGGGAGCAGCGAGAGTGCGTCTCAGTCGGTCAAGCCTGGGCCGCGGAAGGCGAGGCGCTTGGAGAAAGGTGCGAACCTGGATCCGGGGAGGGGGTCTACCCACCTGGAGGGGAAGTGCGCGACGCCGAGGGTCATGGACGACTGCGGGCGCCGCTTCGGGATCGCCCTGGACGTCGCGCGGAGGCGCGAGCTGGTCGCCAGCAGCACTGAGGACGTCGACCAGCTGTTGACCCATGTCATGGACGCGCGGCGCCGCGACGAAGAGCACAGCAGCTGCGGCGGCCTGGATGACAGTCTTCCTCGAGTACGGCAAGTACGGTGCCCGCCGCCTCTCCAGGAGTGGCCGCGCCTTGAAGGGTCGGAAGCGGCTGGTGCCTGGCCGCGAGCGGAATCCTTACTTACCCTTCCCCAGTTGTGGCTGGCCTGGTGTCGGCGCTGATGCATCTGGGCGAGCTGGAGGTGGGGCTGTGGGTGTTGGTGGCTTTCGGGTTTTACTTGAGACCGTGCGAGTACCTGGGGATCCAGCCCGAGGACCTGATAATTTGCGCCTGTGACGGGCGTGTCGGAACACTGGGGCCTGCTGGCGGCGCCGGAGGAGCGTGGGGCCCCGACCAAGGTGGGCGCGTTCGGCGCCGCCTGCTGTGGGGCGCGCCGCACCTCCTCTTGATGAGCGCAGTGTTCGAGGTGCTGCGGCAGTGACCCCAGGGCCAACCGCTGTGGGCGCTGGACTGCCCGTGCGTGCTGAGGTCTGTCAGGGTCGCGTTCAAGCTGATCGGCGTGGGCGTGGTGCCCTGCCGCGTGCGCCACTCAGGGCCGAGGTGCAGGCTCAAAGGGATCCGCACCCTGCAGTGGGCTCAGAGGAGAGGGCGCTGGGCGACGACAACAGACCTGGTGCGGAACGAGAAGCACCGCCGCCTGGTTATGCAGATGTCAGAGCACTCCGGGGCCAAGCATATGTGTGGTTCAGAAGATGCGAGGCACGCGTCGGGGAGTTCGTCCTAGGGACGAAGGAAATTGAGTGGCCGCCGCCGCCGTGAGAGGAGTATTTCTGGATTTGGTTTTGGGCCTTGGTGGCGTTGCCAGGGCTGCGAAATCAGATGGTTTCAAGGCCGTCGAGTGGGGTCGAAAGTTTGGGGAGGCCTAGGACTTGGCCAGAGATAGGCACGTGAGGATCATCAAGATAATGACCAGTGAGGGTGAAGTCATCGCTGCTTGCTTGCTTGGCCCCACAATGTTCTAGTTTTTTTGATCGCTTGTGATCGGGCCCGCATGGTCCGCGACCGAAGCCGCCCGTGAGGTTTGCCCGATCTTCCAGAGAACGAGCAGCAAAAGGTAGGAGAAGGCAACAGTTGCCTACGAGCCACTCTCCAGAGCATATGGTATTTAAGCAAGTTTTCGGTGCTCTGGGCCTCGGGAAATCCTCTAACGAGTAGAAAGTGGCTGACGCCCCAGGCCCAGAATTTCTGGAATTGCCGTGTGTCGATGAAGTGGTATGCGATGTTTTAGTCTGATGGGGACTCCTTGAAGGAACAGGACCCGAGTTTTTTTTGGCGATGTGTGTGCCCGATATTAGACAACTCGTTAAGATGAAATGTGCAGGTAAGAGTTGCTCTTGTGCCTTCGCACTACTGCACCGCATGTCCACATTAAGGGGGAAGGGGCCCAACGGTAACACATGGACAGCCATCGCTCAGCCCTGCCCCCCGAAGCTGTGCCGCCTGCTGGCTAGGATTCTCACAGAGCCCGCACGAGCCCGCCGGCAGCTGGCTTGTTTCAAGATGGGGTAACTCTCCGTGTTTCGGGATGCCCGAATCTTCGTGCTATGGGTTGTGGCCGAAAGCTGTCTGTGCCTTCCGGGAGCCGTCGTGTCCCAAGGGTTCTCGCTGCGTGGTGATTGCGTCACATTCATCTGAGATAGAGTGACCCACTGTAAAGAGACCTTCCCAGTAATTGATGTGCGTGCGCAGGTTTGAATGGGATTGTCTCTGGTCGATGTTGCAAGCGTTTACATTCCGCAACTGTGTTCTCCCAAGTCTTTCTCGTGGCCCAATGCCAAGCCCTATTAATCCATGCCCCGCTTTGAAAAGCAGCGACGGCTCAGAGCCCGCCGCCATTCCAGCTGCGCGTCCTCGGCTGTTCTTTGCCTTTTTTTCCCTCGCCTCCTGAGGAGCCAGAGTGGGCGGACCCTTGGTCAGGATGGAACGCCCGCAAGCGGGCCGCCATCTTCACCGAGATAAGCTTGCTGTTTGCCCCTCAGGCCCCTTGTGTTGTTTAACGCCGCCGACGCCTGGGCTGTGGTCGAATGCTTCCTGTGCCTCCCGGGAGCCGTCGTGTCCCAAGGGTTCTCGCTGCGTGTGGACTGCGTCGCACTCGTGTGAGATAGGATGACCCACTGCAATAATACTATCCCCGTAATAGCTATGACCGTGGTGTCTCCCAGATCTCAAGGCCCCCTCTGTTTTTTTTTCTGCACGTGCGCTGGGCACCGCTCGTCTGCGCACGTGCCTCGAACCATGATTCACATCCCCCCCCTTTCTGGCCCCCCCTCTCGGCGCACCCGGCAATTGCTGCCGGCAGAGATGCGGACGACGAGGACGGGTTCGACACGTGGTATTTCGAGCACGCGGGAGACGACACCAGCAGGCTTTCCGCGGGGTTCGATACCAGCGGCCCCGAGAAGACGGAGGTCGACCCTGAGGAGGCATCGCGCGTCGCTGAAGCGTGGGCGCACTGCCATCAAGGGTACCTCTCCCACGGATCAGTGCCACTCGAGAACGGAGTTATTACTTACCTGGTGACCCGGCCGTCAGATCTGAAGATGTTGGAGGACAGCTTGCAAAGACTTCGGTACTTCATCCTCAAGCATTGGCCATATGACGTTAAAGTAAATACCTCTTCGCGGGAACACGACCGGATAGACAAATGATGCACTCGAGCTGCTCTTGTGAGTATCGGGTTGGTGTTGTCTTGTGTGGTCTGTCAGGTCTGCATGCTTGTGCATATGCTGGTTTGCTCTATCTGCTTGTCTGTCGGGTCTGTCTGGTTGGTTTGCCTGGACTGTCAGTTTCTGTGTCTTGTGGGTCCAATCTGGTCGGGTCGGTCTTGTCAGGTCTGCCTTCTGTTCTTCATCTTCGTCGCGACGTGGGCGCGGACATTTTTTGGAGAGGGACCGTGGCACCGTGGCATCGGGAGAGCGCACCCATGTTATCCCTTTAACCATTCGTTGCCTCGTTGCGCGGGTCTTTCTAGTCTGGAGCGGGATCGCGCATTCGGGAGCGCGGATCACGTTTTCTTTCCGAGGGATCGTGGCCTCGACGGCGGACTCATATTTTCAACGAGGGATCGCGGCGAAGAATCGTGGCCCCAGCAACGCGGATTTACTGTGTTTTGTTGCCCTCGCGCCCCGGAGCGCGCGTGTATTCGGAGGGAGAGGGACGCAACGCTTCCCCCCTGAAGGGGGTCGCGCTGGCTCAGAATTTCAATTTCTGGGAAGTTGAGCGTTTTTTTGGTTTCCGAGAGTGGGTGGTTGAGACGTCAGGGAAAATTTTGGTTGCCAGAATGCGCATGCGGAGTTCTGCAGAATGGCGCAGTGGTGTCAATTGTGCCACCGCAGTGGTGGGGGTTGATGTGTCCGGTTGCTGAAGCATGCGCCTCGCAGCCTGATGCCTTCCCCCCAGGGGGCGGCGGGGTGGGGTGGGGCGGTGGTGGAGTGGACATTTATACAAGTCGTGTGTGCACCTTGCTTATGGCCTGCCCAATTTGTCTGCTTGAGAGGTCTATCGCCCAGTCTGTACGGTCCCGCATGCCTGTTCTGTGATGCCGGTTTGGTCTGCCTGGTCTGAACTGGCCTGGTCTTTCTGGTTTGGCTGAGACTGTCTCGACTGTCTGGTTTGGCCCAGCCTGGCTTGGTCTACCCTACAGGGGCGTACGGAAGGCCTTTTGGAGGTTTTAAGGTTTCGTTGGCATCTTTTGGCCGAGCGGGAGGGACCTGGGTCGTTTTTGGATGTATTGAGGCCGCCTGCGGTGTCCACTGGGCAGTTTGGGCCTTTCTGGGAGGCCTCATGCGTTGTCTTGGTTCTTTCTTGGCGCCGTCAGTGGTCGTCATGGGGTCTTCTTGGGTTGCAGCCGTACTGATACCATCTTCGTCCGACAAGCATGGGATGCAACAGTGCGGCGCCATTGGCACACATGTTTTTGCTCAGTACTTTTGTCGTCTGGGGTTTCTCTTGGGCTTTCTTGTGGCATCTCTTTGGGTCTCTCGCGCGCTTCTTGGGCCCTCTCAGGCCTCTTGCACTTTCGTCGAGACCTCTTGGGCCGCGGCCTCGTGGAGCCCTCTTTTGCCGTCTTGGTGGTAGTTTGGCGCCCCACCTACTCTTTTCACTGGTTCCCAAAGGCAGCAGAAACAGCGTCCAGGACGGGAACGTGATTTTGCCCCTGTCTCGCATCGAAGACTATGGGTCTGGGTGTACGGATTGTGGGTGTGGGGAGGACTATCGCACGCCTGGCGACCCAACGGTGTCGGCGGATTTTCATTCCTAGCAAAGCTCTGCGCGATTATGATAACTCTAGCTTCGGAAGCTCTCCCTCCCACGACGATGTAGTGCATGTTCACGACTTTGTGGTGAGCGAGACGCGTGAGGCAATGGGCCACGTTGAATACAAATTTGATATCGAAACTTTCGACATCCAATTCCCGAGGGCTATCGCCGACGACCACGCGTGGAAGAGCAAGATGAACGAGTGTGCACAAGCAGTGAGCACCAGCTACAAGCACATGAACCAGTTCTTCACCTCGGCGATGTACGAGCACCCTGCCCTGAAGAAGTACAGGTACTATCTGCGCATAGATGCCGACTTCAACTTCAGGGCTGGCAGCGACGGAACTTCGATTCAGGCGGATCCGTTCTGCGTGATGGCGCGCAGTGGTCGGAAGTTTATGTGGCAGACGCGGAGGGAGGTCATGGACAAGAAGTGTACGGAGGGCCTCTGGGAATGGTTCCAGCAGTACCAGCAGGCGCACGGTCTGACGGCTGGTGATGATCTGTTCTTCAGCGAGCTGGGAGCGCGGGTGAACTACGTGGGTTACGTGGGCATGGGGGACCTCGACTTCTTCAGGTCGAAACCGGTCCGCAGCCTGGCGAGGGCGCTGAACGAGGATGGGCGCGTGTACCTGAACCGGTGGTCGGACCAGACGTACTACGTCCTCCTCTTTGCCCTCTTCGAGAACCACTCCGCGGTCGGCGACATGGGCTTCCACTGGAGTGCTGAGAAGTGGTGCCACAAGTGCTGGAATCCTCAGAGTTTTAAGGATTGGCTGGCGAGGTAATCCAGGCAGGGAGTCTCAAACAAGTGTGAGAAGTGCGAGATCGTCCAGGCAGAAGTCTCACGTGCGCTCTTTCCTCAGGAACAGAATTCTTCTGCCTCCTTCCCTCCTTCCCCTCTTCTCCTCCTGCTCTTTCACCAGCTGCTCCTCATCCTCCTTCATCGTCTCCGCCCTGTCCCCTCCCCCGCCGTCGCCCTCCTGCTCATCCGGCACCTCCTGCTCTGTCTCCTGACACCGCCGCTGCTCCTGCTGCTGCTCCTCATCCCCATCCTGTTCCCTTCTCGGCGCCCTTGGTCGGTTTTCGGCGCCCCTGGTCGGTCCTCGGCGCCCTTGGTCGCGTTTTGGCGCCCTTGGCTGGGCAGCGGCGCACCCAGGGAGATCCTCGTCACGCGCGCCCCGCCAGAGCTGCCACGCCAGGCCGAAACCGGACCGCCGCCCTGCCTCGGGGCGCCCGAAGGGCCTCTGGCCCGAGGCCCTCGCCCGGCCCCGGGGGTTGGCCGCTGGCCCCGCAGGGCCCCCTCTCGCGCGCGCGCCCCCTGCAGGGCTCGTTTCGATTCCTCCGATTCGATTCGATTCGATTCCGATGGTTTCCGATTCCGATTCGATTCGACTTGGGGTTCCGATTTGGGCTCCGATTTCTTATTGGAGTTATACTAGCCTGCCGATTTCTGTCGATTCGACTTTTCCCGACTCGGTTGCCGATTTCCGCCGTTCCGATTCATTTCGATCGCCGATCCGACTTGTCGATTCGATTCTGGGCTCTCCTGCCCCTGCGCCCCTCCCTCCCCGGCCGGGCCGGGCCGGACGGGCCCAGAGTCGAAGCGCAGCCTGCCCGCACAGTGAGGAGGAACGACTTTTCGAGGCTGCCCTTTGCTTGGCGTCGCTCGGACGTGTGCATGGTTTTCTCGGCCAGTACCATCGAGGGCCATCCTGGACTTTCGAGCAACAAAAAACACGCGCGAAACCGAGAAATGCACGGGAGATGGACGTCCGAGCGACGGCAAGTTTGCGTCCTTCCCCTTCGGCCCATCCTTGGCCGCTCCCGCTGGCCGCGCCCCGCCAGGAAAGTGTCGACGTGGCCTTCCGAGGCCCTTGCGTCCTTGAGACGTGATCCCGTCTGATTTACGGGTCGGCTGTGAATCCGTTCCGGAGCGTTCCAGAGCGCTCTTAGCGCGATCTGGAACGCTTTGGAACGGCCGCGGCGCCCGATGCATCCTCCAAAAGCCCGCCGATGCTCAGAGGCTTCCCATTTCTACTGTGTCGGTCCGATTTTGTCTCGAGTCTGCCTTCGTCTTATACCGAGGGTAGGCTCCTCGCGAGGTTCGGCCTGAGGGCCGAGACGCGCTCGTTCTGGGGGGACATGGCGGCCCGCAGCGCTCGTCAGGACGTGCTTTTCAGGCGGGCTGCGAGGACCAGGCTTCCTGACTTGTTCTGTTTGTCAACTCTGCCTTGGTTGGCTTGTACGTTCTCTTCTCGCCGTTCCTTACCCCTCCCCCCCCCACCAGGGGTGCGTGCGGGGTCTGCTGTGGCCCTCCTCCTCGTCTCCCCCGTCCTCTTCCCGACCCCCTCCACCTCCGCAGGCGGCGGTGCGGAGCTCGGTGGTGGGGTGCGCCGGCCTTGCTGCAAGGCGCGCCCGGCGGGTGGGCCACGGCTCCCAGGGGTGCTCGCGCTGACTCGGCCGCAGCGGCGCGAGCGGCGCGCGCGCGCGCCCCTGCGGTCTCTCCCCGCTTCCTGCTGCGCCGCCGTCTTCTCCAGCTATTCGTGGAGCAGCACCCCCGTCGCCCTCGCCGTCGGCTCCCCCTGGCCAGCGATTCGTTGTCCCTCAATTCCCTCTCCCCCAGCCCCCCCTCCCCCCCCCCGCCCTCCCCATCGCACGGCCCTCCCCTGTGCTCCCCCTCTTCCTTCCCCCTCTCCCCTTCTGCGGTCGACGGCCCACCTTGGCAGTGATGCTTTGCTGTCGATGCCAATGTCGATATGACATAAGTTTTTTCGTCCTGCAATTTGCCACGACCTGTCTTCGCGGCCCAGCATTTCTTCCGGGCCAGTCGACCCCCTGCTGATTTCGCCAAAGTTTGGTATAACTTTGGTGCTCGCTTATGCGAAGGGGTACGAGCAGCAGGATAGGGTGGAACTCGAGTGGAAAAATCACCCCGTTCCCCATAGTAGGCGTTTTCCAAACATCCGTGTGAGTTATCTAAACAACTCTGTGCTGCTTGATTTTTGTTGTGCCTTGTTTGCTACACGGTTTCGGTCATAAGCGGTGATTGTTCAGAGGATAGGTTTCCCGCCGTGTATGGATGGCGCTGAGATGCTTGAAAAAAAAGGGCTACTGCTCCTAACCTTACTGGTGGCGCCCGGCTGCGCTGACAGAGTCGCTCTTGAGTTGGCGACGGCGTAGCGGGAGCGTGCATAATCCACACCGCATGCATCTAATGGGCGTCCAAATCGTAGTAGTAGTAGTAGTCGTCGTCGTCGTCGTCGTCGTCGTCGTCGTAGTAGTAGTAGTAGTGGTAGTAGCAGTAGTAGTAGTAGTAGTAGTAGTAGTAGTAGTAGTAGTCGTA